GCCTTCATTTCAACTTTTTTCAGTAACTAATGGAAACATGTGAAGAAAGTATCATTCCACAGTACAAACAATTTTGCTGAGGAAATTCATGCACATTTCGCCAAACTGAGATTGGAAAGCATTCAAAGCGAGCCTGTGAAATCTCAGTAACGGAAATAAATTCGTGCTAGACAAACCTCAGTGTTTTCCAGGTGAAGTTGCAAAATATATCTACCTGATAGCAGAAGGATTGTTTGAACGGTAGTCTGAAACCAAACGAAAATGTGGCAGTGACATCCCCCACCAACAAAATTCCATTCAGCTCAACAACTTTGTTTGTTCCCAAAGCGAGTGGAGTTTTATAGATCTACTAAACGGCTTGAACGCTATACAATCTTCATGGTCAATTGGTAGCTGAAGGTGTGGAAACGTTGTTGATTTTCTGAATACGCATTAGGATGTCAGAACGCGTCGGACAATGCAACAATGTCCTTGGAGATCTCTAATCAATTAACTAGGATCTTATCCACGGCATGTAGGGTATAATGCAAAAATGGATAGCCTTAGGACAGAAGAGTTGCAAAATGGATCGGAGATATAATTGTCCTTTGAACATCTACACAAACTTGTCCACACTAGTTTGTCCCATTAGACATAAGTTGTTGGTGACAACTGTTGATCGCGTTAGAAAAAGCATGGCGATGTTATACGAGCTCACCATTTACTTTGCGAAGTTAAGCAGTCAAACAACTCTTCAAATCATTGCATCTGTCTTTTTTCGTTTCGGGACTTGGATTTCTTATGTTAATGACGTAAGAGTTCGCTTAGTTCAAATGATGGGTTCGTTGCGCAGCCAAGGTAATTTCCACGTTGCTAGGCGCTGTCAAATATATGAACTAGGTTTGAGGAGATCAAAGTTCCCAACCGGCGCAGATTCCTGACTGTCTTGCAGCTGCCATCACCTCAAGATGCACGAACAAAAAATAGTGCACGTCGGAACACCGTACGGATTAAATGGAGACACACAAATGTAAAGGGTCTCCTTTTTTAGAGCAGCTTCACTTAATTTTGCGAGGTAAAATCCCAAATTCAGTTCCAAGAGTAATGCCAATTAAAGAACCCTTTATCCTTGTATTTTTCATTCAAAATGCTCTCAGCTGAGCTTTCTGCCTCCTGTCGTGACGAAGTCATTAGGTTTATTCACATTAGAACCAGTGGGGACTTGAGTTGAGTTGTGTACTTACTGGGAGTCGCCAGCATGATATATCCTCGGCCTTACAGACAAACACAACAGGCGAGTGCAGGGTGATTACTCCACAAGCACACTCGGGCGACTCTGACTGTTAGGTGATGTTCGTGATTTGTGATCTGTCGGATGTTTCAGAGGATGACCCACCTGTCAGGAAAGCCTGAATTTAAAATTCCGGCCCAGCTGAAAGTATGCGTGGGTGGTTAATTCTCAATATCTAAACAGGCTAGGTCACACTCAAAGACGACAAATCTAACTTCGAGAACCCCCTAAAATTAACACAAATCAAAATATGCCTTGATCCTGTTGACTTTTGTATAAGCTGTGGAGTTCATTTCTTGAAGCCACTTTGTGAAAATGGTACCGGGTGATTGTTAGTAACTAATCCTAATATCCAAGCACTTTGATTCTGGCTTATACAAAATACTATTTATTTTTGTCCTAACTGACAGTTTTGTGTCCCCATTCATTCTGTCCTCACAGATAACGCCCAACCTATCAATGGATCAACAAGTGAGTGCAATTCCACCCACACTTGTAGAAGCTGTTTACTGTTCGTATTAGCCCAAGTGTTCTCAATAAATGTAACCTTACCCCAAACAGCAGAGGACCTCTCTGCCACTTACTTCCACAGTTTGTAACTTGTCTACCCAAGTGGAAACGTAATTTAAATCGATCCACTGAATTCTTTAATCAGCCTTTGTTGACTTGTTCCTCGTGTGCTGTAAGGCTCAACAGCATTTTTGGGCTGTCTTATGGGTAATCAGTGAATACGTCAAAGTGATGTGCATTTTTTAACAGATAGTCCAACTAGTTCAACTATTTCGCCACGTGACTGTACGCCATACATTTCCTCCGTGATTAAAAATTTGTGTTCAACTTCTTATCGACAAAATAAATGGTGACAAGGTGTCTCGTGGGCCGGATTTTCAGACCACATTGAACCACCAGCCAAAAACATACATGGGAAATCAGCACGTGCGCTCCTTTGAGATTTGTGTGATAATCCACTTTTTTCTGTCCATAGGAAATCAGCAGCAGTAAAACTTAAATCACCGGGTCCTTGCACTCTACCGCACCAGTGACATTTTTAACGATACAAACACAACGAACCTGTGATCTGAGTGCATTCAGGATGAACCGTCCTACGGTTACGTTAGTAGTTTTCCTTAGTTTCAGTAATAGACTAATGGTGAATCTTGGTCTTTCCCAAACCTAGTAAATGCTCACTTTTCCGTCAACTCGGCATATACACTAGTGAGCTCATCTGTTTTGTTGATTTCATCCTTTTGTCAATACTGTACCATCTCTACTGGTAATTTATCCTGGTAAAATCATGACGAATCTGCAACGATGATTTCAAAATATGGAAGGAAAAACAGCACGAGCTATTTGGTTCTGCAGCTGTGAGAAAGTCGTAGGTCGCTGCTGGTAGAGAAGGTTTTCTTACAGCACACAAAGTGCCTTGCGTCGAGGCAGGCTTCCTTGACTTGCATTAAATACTGCCCACCTCATACCTACCACTGTTTTCACTGAACACTGACCATCCATCGGTTGGGATTAAATTCAAAGCCTATTAATGTGATGCAGTGACTCATTTAAGATTATCTGTTGATACTGTTCATCCATTGCATAGTATCGGGGCAATGTGGTAATCTGCCAGCATGCCAGAAACGAGGATCATTAAAGGTAACCAAAATTATCGACTAAGTCAGGAACACTATTAGTCTATTGCTTCAAGTTAGAAGTCATTTGCAATTTTTTCACAAAATGACCTCGAAGAAATTGTCTCAAGCGTGCAATCAAACCTAAGCTCTTCCATGAGATAGGGTTTTTAAAACGAGCTTTACTACTGAAGTGAGTTTCGAAGACCCATGAAGCGGTGACTTCCCAAGGGCATCTACTTTAAAGGAGGAATAAAACCGTATTGATTGTTTTGCCCGTTGATCAGATTTGACGGCACTAAGGAGTTAGACACAATGTCTTTGAGATGTCTCCAAGGAAGCAAATATCTCGTGCGATTTTCCTTCTTCCCCCATTAATCTGTTAGTTCATGTGAGTTAATCTTGTTTCTTGTATGAAGTATTTGGCTTTTTCAATGAAGTACGAATGAATGGAGAACCATATATAAATCCAGCCACTCACGACTGAGAACTGACTTTGCCTCATAGCTACGGCAGACATTTTGTGACTAGCTCTCGGAATGAAACCATCAAATCAGGAAGAAAACTCCAAAACCACTTGCCTAAGAAGTCCTATTTGGGTATTTGCCAGCGAAAAAGAAAGGCAACGGCCATACTAAATTAAAACCTATCTTCGGTGTTTGATTAGCGGTTTGGCTAAGGGATGTCCTTTGCGCCGTCAACCACGAAGAATTGGGCACCTTGAAAACACGAAAAATCCCCACTGATGATTGAAATTCATTAAGATGCAGTAACGCGGACCGAACAACGAAGATGTACTGAGCGACCACAGTTTGGCTTTTTTTCTAAATTTTAAAATTAAATGCAAGGCTGTGATCGTAGTCCTTGTGAACCTGTGATATGTTCCTTCGCATTCGAGTTCAACATATCTTTCGTGGTTCTTGGAATCTAGGGCAGCGCATTGTCCAAAGTATTCTGTAGTAAGTTCGGGATGTCTTCAGAATGTCTTAAGATGACTGTCGATCTTGAATGAAAGAAAATGCTTACTTGTGTGAACTTTTTTTTATAATATCAACTATCGGTTGAACTTGCACAAAAGGCTAAACGCAGTGCTTCTGGTGTTTTTTCCTGATTTTTTGGTAGCAGAGTAGAACCATACTGGAGGTTACTTCACCAGCATTACTTTTCAAACTTCCAGGGTTCGTGATAGTGAGCTCGTGGGGTTTTTCAAATCTAATTTTAAAGACCTTGTGTACAGAACATGTTATTTAATTAGCTGACCTTTTTCAAGAATCTCAAATATACAGTAGCTGAATCACAGTCAAAATGTCAACCATTTCCTAATTTCATGTCATCAGCAAAATGGTATCAACAAATGTGTCACTTCATATTGCTCCTAAGCAAACAGGCCTGTTCATTTGCGTCAGGTTTCGCCTCTGCCATTGGCACATATTTTACAAAAAATGCAATGTTTCTGTGCTCCTATAACTATCTTGTTTCCACGATTATCGAACAACTTTGTCCACCGAACAAGAATGAATAACAATTGGTCGCACAGCTTCGCGTCCACTTTCTATCGTTCACTTCTCAACTGTAAAGAATGCTTTATCCTCAAAGGGAAATTTTCACAAAACTTCCTGAAGATTGAGTGAGACATTCCAAGCTGTAACAGACTGAGAATACCCTGCGCTTAGACTATATAGAGAATGGACTTTACCCAAGCATAAACGGGTGGACAGAAGGTAATGTGTATAAGAGCTAGTCGCGAGTCGACGCTCATCTTGGTTCACTTCAGATGCATGGTGACACACAAGAACGCGTATTCATGGGTCCGAATATCTTTTCGCTTGATGAGCCAGTATGCACGGATTACTTGTTTACCCACGGAAACAGTTCCCTGTATTCTTCAGTAGCCATTGTGAAAAATGGTGGCTATACACAACAATTCGCCGTCAAACTCTCGGAAATTCGTGTCATAACAATGTTAATCTTAGAATCCACAGTCTGCTGTCAAATCAACTCTACAATCTTACTTGAATCACCGAGCTTAATAACCCCTTTTTTCTATTATGTTTGCTATATATCGTGCTTTCACACATCCGTCCTTAATCATTCGTTTTAATTCACAGACTGCATCTCTCATACTCCAACAAAAATACGGTCTGCTGTTGCTCTCTCGCATTTGCCCGAACACGTGGCCATGTTGAAAATGAACAGTGGGCTAGAAATGTCCGAAGAGTATGAGAGTATTGAATCCGGGACAGAGGGGCTCACGTGGAAGTACGCAAACATGGAGGAAAACAGACCGAAAAATCGATACGCCAATGTGGTCGCTTACGATCATTCGCGTGTTCTGCTCCCGACAATCGCAGACATTCCTGGATCAGATTATATAAATGCAAACTATATTGATGGTTATCAACGTCAAAAGGCGTATATCGCAACTCAGGTCAGTTTTCAACGCGTTTATCCAACCAACTATCGCGACAGTTGATGGTAGATATAATACTTTTGTCTTAAAACCATATTTTCGGCTTGTTTATGATACTTTTTACACTAGTTCTACCTCCTAAGTGAGTACAATGCACTTTTGACACTGCGGCTGTGAAGTTGTTGGCAATTAATTCGGCTAGTAATCATCTTCCAGGCCTTGGAATTTCCGTGACCTCTGTGTGCCAACTAAGAAACTCTAGATGGCACGTACAATGAAGCGCCGTGTCGTGAATTAGGAAGGAACTCAAACCAATAATCGGTGTTCTTCCCTCAGACACAGTAGTTCAAAACTATTTTCATTACATTCATCCTCACAATATATTTTTACGCGAGTTGCTTTGCGCTGCTGAGATATGGAAAAGATAAGTTTATTGACTGATGCTCACTTTGTGGAAATTGAAACAGAGCAAAAAAATAAACACGAGATATTCTTAGCTGGTTTTGACACTAAATAACGCGTCGCGCACAAGTACCGTCTATTGTATACCGGTCTTGACATTTTCCACAGTACAAACCAGAGTAGGGTTCAGAATAGCTCAAGAAACAGTCGACCAGTTTCTTATTTCTCTCCATAGTTTGCACACCAGAACCGATAAGCGAAAAATAGTCAAACATTCATCTTATCAAGGACATTGCTACATGACCTGGAAGAGCATTTCGTCAGTTCTGGTTCATCAGACACCTGTAGTAGGATTCGCCTTTTGTTACTTCGGACTGGATACGTACAATTTTTATGAAAGAGACAGTATCAAATTTACATCTGCGAAAGTGGATCAGGTGGTTGGAGAACTGTTATTATTGAGTCTATGTAAGCGAGCGTAGAGAAATGTAGTTAATATTTACCGAATGAATCACATATGGAAGCCTGTTGCACAATAATGAACGCTGTCGATATAGCTGTCGCTTGAACAGCCCACATTTGCTGATATATGTTGTGTGGTCGGTCTGTAGCAAGCCGAGTGCGGTTGAAATGTTTCCGCATTGGATATTAGCAAGTACTAAATGCTTGTATGTCAAGAACTACGGAAACTTGTCTGTGCGCTAGTCCCCTGGAGACGTGGAACTTGCCGCAGGCAAGCGCAGTCGACTTTCGAAATGAACGCTCCTGAGATGTTAGATATTCGACTGCAAACACAGCAGAAACTAAGCAAAGTGAAGACAGTTTAATTTAAAATAAAAAAACAGAGGTAATGATACCACATCCCCTGGTGGATCACAATAAAAGAAGAGGAAGAAGGTAGAGGATTGCGGTTATCCCTTCCATGTTGCACCAAACTCTCATGATAACAAGCATAAGGCTATTCAAGAGAAGGGTCCGGGAGACTAATGGATCACATTTTCGGCGCAGCAGCCAAAATGATCTCAAAATTAAGAAACTCGAACACGAATGAATAATGCCCAACCGAATGGACAGCTTTGTGATCTTGAAAAGGTGATACTTTGCCTACCAGAAACCACACCGTACAAAATGCGTGGTAGTTACACTCAATCACATCGGGTTGACAACCATGCCCTAGGACGCCCGGCGGCTAGCATCAATTGAATAGTAAGAATTTGAAAGAAACCTATCAAAGTACTCAAAAACACAATTTGTTTTGTGAGACTGTATCTTTTATGGGAGGTTCCTGACAAGCAACGAGCCGCAGTGCACGAACTGAAGGCATCGAAAACCTGCAAGCTAACCAGTATAACCACAAACTTTTCAGTGCTGTAGAGCCAACCACTGAAAAGTTTTCCCACCATACCAGCCTAGTTATAACCGAGTTAAGATCAGCTACTACACAGATTTCCGTTTATCAGGAACGATGAAGTTCAAGAATGGTTGTCGGACACAGTTTGGTGTCATAGCGTTGATAGAAATTCGACTACAAGAAGATATCCAGGGTTCGGTGATCGGGTTATAGTGTCCCTGATGAAGTCGGAGGTACCCCCAGAATCCTCAGTGAGCTGCCTACGCCTGGACAAAATTGCCATTTAGATGCTCCATCGCATTTCACCCAACAGTGACATCCTGGATACCGCTCCTCAAGCACAGTTCCCTAGGTGTTCCCCTGGAAGATTTCCAGAGTGCGGAAAGCCAACCGAGCTGCTGCGTCAAGGAAACAGGCGGCTTTGAGCTGCTTTGAGCAATCAAAGATACCATAAAGTTCCAACATTTACGCTGTTCAAGAAAATATGGTGATAGTGTCACTTTTCTTTAACCCAAAGGATCACGAGGAAATAGCGACCGTTTGAAAATAATGGTCCCGTTGCGGCTGACGATGAAGCAAAGGATTGGTTGTACCCAGAATTATAATTTGTATGGAGCCAACCTACGGTAACTTAGTTGCTACGACACTATTTGAATTAACTGTGGATTGTATGTTTCCCTCACTATTAAGCGTATGACTTGGCAGGCTGTCCAATCCAATAGTGACGAAACGAACAAACAGCAATATGAACGGTAGCGTAGTAGATACAACACGAGCAAGAAACCTTACAACAGTCTCATCAAAGAGAAAATCGCGTGCTTTCAGCCACTATAATCACAGTTTGTAGCGTTCGGATTAGGTTACCGTGCTACAAGATGACAACGGAATTGCCTCGAGAAGCTATTGGGGCATGGACGATTCCTGATGCAAAACTATGCAAACCTATTTACGGCCGGTGGATGCAAATGCACGCAAGGATATAGACGAACGTTTTCACAGCGTGCACCGAAGCAGAATTCCCCACACTGATGAAGCAGACAAAAATACACAGATCGCAGATGGAGTTCACCGAGTGATAAGCAACAGAGTGTTCCTATCATGGCCTTTATATTTACTTTCCATGGTTATCAAATAAAAAAGGATTGTCCCGCAAGAGTGAAACTTGCACGGTCAGAAAAAAACGTAGACGCACACATTATGTAAACCCATCAAAGCTACGCCTATAGACTATAGCAAGCCCTTCGATTGAGCCGAACACAATATAATTTCCTGAAGCCTGGAAGAAAATGCTCATGTCGGTGCTCACTTTTTGGTTAACAAGCTTTTTGATTGGTCGGAGCTCTTGATTCGAACTGAAAGGTATGCTCTTTGGAAGATGTGACGCTACGAGCGGAGTGCCTCCAGCTTACATCCTAGGATCCATGCTTTTCGGCGTTCATAATAGACATGTGCCACGCCCCATGCACGCTGTTTACTGACGGACCAAAAAGCTGAAGTTGCATTCAGAATCCCGGTAGTTCTAACACTCCAAACTGTATATTCTGCACGACTTGTATGGTGCGCTTCACCTTCCTTCGAGGCACAAAGAATGGTAACAAGTAAAGTCAGAACAGGAAGGAGGAGAATGGAACTTTGCTATTACAGATTGTTTCGTAACAAACGGTTTTAGGGAACTTCGACGTCTGTGCTCTATACAGCTGTGAAAAGGTATCAACTTTGTGGGTAATGTGGCGAATGTTCTCGTTATGGAGTCCGCAAACATGGAACCAATCGCAAGACGTTTTGAGCTTCCTGTAGGCCATTTCACAACTACTAGACATAAGTATAGCTGCATCTCAAAGGAGAAGAGTATAACCAGGTGGAACAAGGTCGCCATCGTGCTACACGCTCCATTCAGGAATAAAAACATTATGCATATCGAACACCTCACAAGACTGCATCTGTGTACTTTTGAACTTGCTTTGCTTCCTTCGATTAACATGTCTTCAGTAATCACCTAGTTTGCAGCAGCTCTTCAGTCTGGCGAGGACAAAACGTAACCGACAACGACAAATTAAGAAGGAGAATCTTTGTCTTCGGCCTAGATCTTTAGTTAAAAGTTTACCCACCAGAGTTTAGCACTTGTAGAAAGGCTCACTGAACAGCACTTTTAGAACGCCTTTGTCAACGCTTTCAAGCTGGCAATAGTCACCTACTCATGAAACAACAGCGATGCCTTACTGAGTAAGCGGATACCGGGATCAGCAGATGGGACACCACCCAACCCGAGGCACTCGCAGTGATTTCTATAGCGCAGTCAGCTACACATGGCAGTAGTGACACACGCAGTCAACATTCGCTCTCATCCAACGAAAACCATAACTGAGAAGTTCAACCAAACTGGACATCACATATTCTCACAAAGGAAACTGCTTACAAATTTGCTGAAAATTCTTCGACAGCCCTTTATGAAAATATACTGCGATATCTCGAATATCGGCCTGTGTGCAGCACATTCAGTTGTAGAATACCATAAACGAGAGATTCAATTGAGTCTCTCGTGAAAACCAAATTGATTTGCAAATTAGTGTATTTCTCGATCACACATTCTCGTTCACCAGCAGTGAAGAATTGAGATATCCTTTTGGGTGAGCTTGGTTGAGTATTCGACAACTTGTCACAAGAAAGTAAATTACGGTGGCCAAAGTGAATTTTCGCGAGAAGTTTCATTTTTAGGAGGCTAACATGCACTGCATGATATAGTTTTCAGATCCAGCTATCCACAGGTATCATGCTCGTTACTTCAAGTCGAATGCATGTCTCCGACATTTAATAGATTAACGTATGTCTGTCCAAACAGCTGCTCAACGTAATTCAGGAACAGAGATCCGATCCCATTCTTCTATGTGGTCCTTTGCAGACCCTAGACAGAGCTCAAAAAATATAGTAAGCACTCTTTATTTTAAATGCAAAATATCCAACGACTGCGAACCGACGATTACTCAGTTTTCTTGAACTGACCAGTCTGATTCTCTGGCCTCAGTTCACATGGTGATTACTTTATACGTTCCAAGATGTGACTGCTACAAATGGTCAATCAAGTAGAACCAATTTCATACCAACAAATGACCACAAACTGCTGGGTATATTTAGATAATAGTGCTGGTGAATAGCTCTTTTTGTCGGGTACAATACTGTCAGATCCGTCCAACCGTGCACTGACGGTGTCTCCTCAATTGGTGACGAAACAACTGCGATCAATCTAACACGCTCATCGCACAGACCAGAATTGACTGCCATCACCGTGATGGTCAACAAGAATTTTCCTGGAAGAGAAAGACGCTTTCACTATGGGTTTCTTGTGAAAGCAGCCTTGTAAACGGAAATGTGCTTGCTTATGGGGGGTTTGCTTTGACCTAGGAAAGTTGTGGACATTGTTTAATTCAGAATTACACTGGGCGAATCTGAGTTTTCTCCGGAAGGTCTGTCACACTGGCCCATGACATGCAGACACTTGGCTTAATTTTCCAAAGTTTGTCTAAGCTACAATATAGTCCATTCTCTTTCCAGAAATACCCGTTAAACAAACGCTTCATTCGTAATTGGTTCCAAACTTTTTTCATAACCTATTCGACCTTCGAAACCTGGTATTTGTGATTATCGAAAGGCTGTTACTTGTTTCTTGTTCACTTCAACTAAGTATGGCTCCCCTTATTAATCCACGTTGAGCACTTATGCTACTTTGTTGTCCATCCAAGCGAGTTATGTAACTGTCTGAGCTTGTATTTGTAGCACGCCTGTTTTCTCCTCCTTATCTCACAGGGCCCGTTGCCAGAAACCTTCTACGATTTTTGGCGTATGATTTGGGACCAGAATTCTCGCATCATCGTAATGATGACTCGTCTAGAGGAACGGGCACGTGTAAAGTGTGATCAGTATTGGCCAACCCGTGGGACCGAAACGTTCCGGTATACGCCAGAAGAAAAAACTACCAAATACACAACTCCGGTTTATACTGTAACCCTTAATGATACTAGCGAATATGCCTACTATACTTTACGGACGTTTATCCTTAGGCGGGAGGCTGGAGATGCGGAGATGAATGACACCAACAGACAAAATAGCCAAGCTGTGGAATCGCGAGAAATAAAACAGTTTCAGTTCACTGCGTGGCCGGATTATGGCACTCCAGACTATCCTCAACCACTGCTACTCTTCATTCGACGTGTGACTCAGGTCCGATCGCACATGCTACATCAGTTGCAGCAAGAACGCTTGGCTAATGGAGACTCCTACAATGGGCGAGGCACTACACATAAGCCCCTGGATGCAATAAGACCAACTAGTCCCAATCTATTGACTGAACTCGGTCCAACAGTTGTACATTGTTCGGCAGGGGTGGGAAGAACTGGTGAGTTTTTATGAACCGCTTACCTTTTTCAGAGAATGCAGGCATTTTCTTCATGGGTCGTGAAAATAAAAGCCTGATCTGATCAGTTCCAAGTTGTCAAACGTTTCCGTGTAGAGTGCGTGGTTCCCCGTTAACCAACCCCATATGACATCAAAATATCGCAATTTTTGGCTTGCGTTGTTCCATTATTTAAGTGTAACAATTATGAATGTGAATTATCCTTTCAGAAATCCAATACACTGCCTGCTAGTGAGATTGAAACTTACTCAATACTCCGTTCAAACCGGATGTGGTCATTAACAGCAAACTGAAACTTTGCATAATCACTACTTCCGGGAAATGTATAATATCACAAACGGGCTGACATTTTTCCCCAAATTTTGTGTAAAATAAATTCCTAAAACGGATACTTTACAATATGGCATGCTACATTTTTTCCACCAAAACGGAAAACTGGCTGGGATCGTCGTGAACAAGTAGTATTTGGTTATGCTGCCTTCAACATATCACCGGACTCACAAAATTCAGAAAATCATTCAATTTGCACTCAGCAAGCTTCAAACTCGCTGGATTTGGGGTGTCGCAGCTGTGTATTTTATCACAGACTTTCAGTGACAATCTTCCAGCATCTAGTTTAAAAGCTGGAATTACATGGGTACTGTGCCGTCCTGTTTAACCAAATCCAGTTTGCTGTGGATGCACAGTAATATAGGCTCGGTGAGCACAAAACAAGTGATCTGAGGAATGATAAACTTACGTTTCATGTCATGCTGACCTGAAATAGAAATAGAAAACGACCTCGTTGACACTGATGCTTTGTGCATCCTTCTACTTTCTGGTTTTCATGTATTTTACAAATACGCTCATTTTCATATCAATTTGGTTTTGACGGGAACTCACCTGGAATCCACATTAGAAACACCATAAAACGAGAGATTCAGCTAAATTCCAGGTGCGTCTCCTGTCAAAACCAAATTGCTATGCAAAAGAGTGTATTTTTCGAAACCTGTCCAGTTTGGGTTCAAGTAAACCATAAGGTTGACGGAAACTCGGGAACTGCGCCTACTTGATGACTCTTAAGAAGGACGAAACTGGTCGTAGGATGTCAGAGATTTTCAGCAACATCATGAATAGTGCATTAAGTCTATTCATGAATTCTGCTTTGTGTTATTGTGTGCACCAAGAATGGACCACCGTGACCTGACTCAGTCCGATTTTATCGACTGCAAAATTCATAAGAGGGGCTCAGTTAAGCCGAAAAATCCTTTAACTCTTTATCCGTTGGAAATCAATATGCATTAGGAAGTAGAGATGTCAGCCTATACAGTGTTTATCCGATGGTTTGAGAATCACAGGTTCATATCCTGACTGAACCATATACCTTTTGCCTGCATTAGGTCTACTTGAGGTTCCATTCAAGACTTGTCTAGCTTTGTCTTCATTATAATAGTACAGAGATTTTGCACGTAGTCAGCATGATCAATCCCTATTGTACAACCTTTGTCATCTTGCAGGCGCCTTTATTGTAATTGATTCCCAACTGGAACGACTACGCTACGAAAAGTCTGTAGATATTTTTGGATCTGTTGGTCGGATGCGTGCACAACGAAACTTTATGGTGCAGACAGAAGAACAGTACACATTTTTGTATGACGTGTTTGTCGAGGCAGCCACCGTCTACGGTACGGAAGTGACTGCACATGGTCTGTACAACCACGTGGTCAAGCTTCGTCAAATCGCCCCATCCAATCTCTTGTCGCCGAACAAACCGATTGGAAACGGTATTCATGATGGAAACGCGAAAGATTTTGCACCAACTGTTAATCAGTCTGGGCTAGAAATGGAGTTCAAGGTATGTTTATGTCTAAGAAACCTGATGATTTCAAATTGCATTGCTTTTCAGTCAGTGACCGGTAATTCAATACGATTTATCTAGCAATGTGCAATGGAACCATTCTGGCACAACCATTCTCAATCGCTCAATCATTTTTGTCCACAAAACCAAAAATGAGGCTTCTCTAGAAGCTGGTAAAGACATCGTAGGACTATGCAATGGATACACATTAGGCAAGGAGGGTTCTGACCTCCTTTTTTGTTGCAAAGCCCCACTAGACAGTCTTTCAAATCAAAAGCCTACACCAAGTAATCATAACTTCTCTGCAACGATAGATGACTGGTTAGAATAACACTGCAAACGAAAGAGTAACGCGCCACTATGCCATCAGCTGGGTAGAATTAGTCACTCTTTAAAGTGGATCCATCAGCTGCGGGTGTGGTTGGCGGATGGGTAGTTATCGGATCAACAGCCTGCACCCAAGACCCAAGGTAGTTTTTTAGGTGTCCCAATTGTAAATTCGCTCCGCGTCTCTTGAAAAGGGAGGTCTGTTACGGAATTTGTGGAGTCGCTTTGTAGCATTTGCTTGGATTTGAGCAACGGTCAAGGAGTATCCAGGAAAGTTCAGGAAGACGCGTTCAAGGGGGGAATGGATATTTAGTTCTTGTAAACAAGAGGCATATGAGTTTCGCTTCCCTGTCTAATAGTCTGTAACTCTTCAGTTGGCATTTTCCAATAAACAACTCTTCAGCGAAGGCCTTCTTTCACCTGGTAGACCCAACTCCGTATGACTAAGCGTTTGATAACAAAACAAGGTGTACCCTTGAAAGGGAATCGCTTCGCAACCCTTACAACGAATCACAGACTATCTGTAACTAACATCGCAAGCAGTAACAGCAACCTTCGATTCCCCTACTTAGCAACACCGTTCAAATTGACCAACTAGTTCCCATGAAAATTTGGCATTCGAGGATCTGAATGTGCACTTGCATTATTGCTTCGCTGAGTATCAGTTATTCCCACTAACGTGTTCTTTCGAACCTTGGTTCTTAAGCAATCCTAAGTTGTTCGGCCCCTGCTGTGGTTCAATGGATGTCTTCATTCCAGACCACCGACGCTTTTGTTGTAGATAGACACATATTTACGCTGAACCAGAAGACCACACAGATAATGTCCACATCAAAATGTTGCTGCAGATGTCAACTAGAACTATGTTCTATTTCCTAGTGCTACGAGAAACAGTGTGCACTAAAACGCCGGTTGGTTCCAGTGTTGAGCACAGCTGACGGACCTTGCGGAATCTAACTGAACATGCGTCATTCTCAACGGTAACTTCCGCAACCGGGTCTTCATTGGTAATCACTCCCTCACTGGAACCCATTTTAACATGCACTTTTTAAAGTGTCGGTTTTGTCCGTCAGTTTCCGTGGTACCCACAAATCGGCGGGTGCCACAAACTGAACTGTTGTGTGTTTAACCGAAGAGTGTAACAACGCAAGATGAAAGCGTAAGGCAAATTTCCGCTCATTATCCCAATCCACCGCATCCTTCATGTGTGCTGCTGATCAGACGACCGGGAACTAGTTTATTCCAAGCCCTGTAACGAATAAATCGAAACTTGGCTTCATTAATTTAAGTGGTAGAATTCATTTAGGGTACATTGTGGCAATGTAAACTGAGTTACAATCACCGATGGCGATGTCCTCCGATTCTGCTTTGATTGGTCCAAAAGTCTGTGATTTGAAAGTAAGCAGTTTCTGGTGGCAGCACTAGTGGTTGCAACCAGCTGTCCTTAATTTTCTGCTCAAGCATCTAACCCACCCCTATGTTAGTACTAGCGTTTGAAAGTGTACTTGCTGCATTTTGGTCTGAGTACCATACATAGCACTCATGTAAGAGGGTCCTGGAATATACCCTTCAAAGTAGGTAGTCGAATGCTTCTTAGTCCCAGTATCCGGGTCTATTGTTTTGGATCTCTAAATTCGGTCACTTCTTTTACCTGCTAAATGAGTGATGTGAACTGTTCGTCAGGTTACTCGAAAGTTGTCTATTACTGGTATTTCAATACCCAAATGACAAGACGTAAGAAGCGGTAGATAACTGAGAAAAGTGATGTACTTCTTAGCTTACGATCAATAACTTCACATACATTTGCACCATGAAAACTTCTGTTTTGATGCATTCGGGGTGGGAGATTCGTCCCAATTGAAAACCTTCGCTAAAGGACAAATCCATTTCCACTTCTATGGAAATACGAGAGAGGTCCGCTGGTTGATTGACGTCGAACAGAAGTACAAGTCCACCTACATTACCAATTTTCCAAACAAACTTTTAAGCAGAAACATACCGCACAAAGTGATGGTGGACTGGTGCGAACCGATTGACTAACAACAAATGTACACAGAGTTTTCCCATGGTTGAAAAATAAGTATGTCCGGATTAAGATATTTGACCACACGTATGGAACAGTTTATATTCAATTCTCCGGCTTTCTGGAAATCGTATGTTATCAGTTTCCCCCTTGGGCTGAGGGAATAAAAACTGATAATTTTTTATGCTGAACCTATGTAGGCTGCATTCGCGTGAGCGTTTTCCACCTTTATTCAGTATACTTTATCCAGAAGAGTGTGACAGTTGCTCTTCAAATAGGCTAGCCCTAAAATCTACCACACTTGTTCGTTCTTGTTAGGATTCCCGTGAATCGTTCAGTTTATCGATTTTGTCGCTCTAAATCTACAGACTTTTAGCGAAAAACCGACTCACACCAAAGATATCTCTTACTGTGTTTGTCTTCAGACGAAAAAAGACTTGTCCATATTTAACTTATTCCTTGAAATACTTCATTGTCGTCCATATTTTAGCGCTTGAACGTTAATCTGGTGCTACATAAGCAGTTCACCTCAGCTGTGCTCCCCGAAAATCGGCTGAAAAATCGCACTCCAGATATTCTTCCTTATGAAGCTAACCGGGTTTTTCTACCCATCATTCGTGGCTTGAATGGTTCTGATTACATCAATGCCAGCTTCATCGATGGTTATCGTAAAAAACGAGCATATATCTCGGCCCAAACACCAATGCCAAATACCACTGATGACTTCTGGCGTCTCATTTGGGAGCACAACTCTCCTATTATCGTACTGATGCACACAGAGACGGTTGCGCGATCAACCAACACATCTGCCCCCGGACTGCCGGTTCAGAGTGACTCCTATTGGCCAATGGAACGATCGACCCGGTATCAGCATTTATTGGTTGAACCTATGGTAGAATATACGATGCCACATTTCATTCTACGAGAATTCCGTTTAACAGACACACGAGATGGTCAATCTCGCACTTTGAGGCAATTTCAGCTGCTCGGTTGGCCTCAAGATTCCGTTGTACCCAAATCCGCCGAGGCAATGATCGATCTGATTGGTCAAGTTCACAAGACACAGTCTCAATTTGGTCAAGACGGACCAATCACAGTGCATTGCAGGTAACGTTCTCTCCATCTAGTCGGTCGTCTACTACGGGCAATAAAGAATAAACTTTGAAATGTTTATTAGTCTGACTTCGCTTCACTAAAGATGACCACAACGCCAAGCGCAGTGCTGACAACCGTATGCTTGGCTCTCGAGCTGTTAGCATGTAGCACACAACAGAATTGCTTAATAAGACTGTCGACTGTCGTAACAAAACTTACTTTTCCAGTCAAACCACTAGCCGCATCATTTTAGTCGGCAGATGCGTTTTGCTACGGTTACGAGCTTATAACTCCTAGCTCGTGACAGGGGTTACCTAGGCTAACTTGGTGGGTCTCACTGAGGCTGAAATGCCACGGGTGATTGAGCCTGACGGGATGGTCAAATCTTCACTAACAGAAGTTCTTTTTTGCTGATTTCATGGAGAAAGAGAAAGAGAGTTTTACTGCTTCCGAGAAGTATTGGAAGCCATAAGAATGAGCTAATAAATCGCCCACTCTCTCTAGAAATTCTTCTGAAAGGCTCAAAGTGGCGGAAGATCCTCAATTCAAAAGTAATTCTTCACTCTGAGCAGGTCTAAAAGAAAATTGGTAAACGAAAGGTGCGATAAACTTGTTTACTCCCTCTTCTTTAATTGAATGGAAAGTTTTGCCCCATCGTTAATGTGCTTTTTTAACCTTAGCTTAACGCTTTATCAGAATTAATGATCTGAGTACAGATTCGTTACTTTCTAGTCATGACCTGAAAGGACAATGTCGTCGCATTAAGTGCAAACGACATGCCTAAGTAACGACAAATCAATTGGCTTGCCCTAGCAGCCCATCAAATCACAGTATAGGCAGAGTTAACTTCGGCTGATTTGTCCCCTCGCTGCCGCAATCTTGTTTTGTTGACAGCATGGCAGCTGAAGTTCTAACCTATGTAATTTCGTCTCCACTGCTACTTCATGTTCTGACTCTAAAGTTGGCCGAAACTGGAGAAAACCGTGTATAGGTCTTGATAAAACTGTCGTATATCCCGAATTCCCATACATCGATCAGCACATAAAACTGAATGCCGCAAATTAGCTCAACTGGAGAAATCCAATATTTATGAAATGTTAAACAGAAAAATTCTTTCGTCTGGTAGCAGAGTTTTATTCTCAAAACTAAGTACATGTGAACAACCGAACATGTAACTGAAACTTGAATTCCTGTTGCATGTATCTAATTGAATGAGACCGAGGAACTGGATGCCCTGACGATTTTACGAGTGACAGCAGGCTTCGAGTGTAGGCAGGACAGTCACTTCTCTTGCGCACTTCAGACTAGAATATGCCCCCTTAAGTAAGTTTTATAGGTTTGGCCGTCTCAGATAATCAGTTTGCTGAAGCCTTGCACAAAATATAGTACCTAAGATGTAGTGTATTCATAACAAACCTCCAAAAATCCACCATCTCCTGGAGAATTTCTCTTGATATGTATTCGTAATTTGTTGGTATTATGAGGGGAGGTTTCGTCCTTTAATTACTGTCATTCTATGCCAAAATGCCAGGTATAACTATACATACAGGTATAACTATACAGGTATAACTATACTAACTATATTATAATTACTAGATGTCAGCTATTCACAAATCTTTCGAGATATCTGAAAACGAAAATAAAGACCAAACCATCCATACATACACATATATACTACCATCCGTCACTTAAATAGTTCCACTTTTCGATTTTAGCACTGGATCCGGTCGATCGGCTGTATTCATTTGCCTAAGTTTGCTTCTGGAAAGAATGCGATGCGAAGGAATGGTGGACATTTTCATCACCACTCGTATGTTACGCACACAACGTGTGGATATGATTCAGACACCGGATCAATACGCATTTTGTTACGCCGCGACACTGGAATATCTTGCCTCTTTCGACCACTACACCAGTTAGTACACTACTGGATCCATCTTAATCCTTGTCTCTTTGCACAGAGTGAAAATATTCTGTGGCGCTGATATTTTTCCCTCTTTGACTTTCTTTCTTCGTAACAAATACACGGGCTGCAGTTAGCAAAGGTTTTTGAATTGACGCGTTCAACTTGATGGACACTCCAAGTAGTCTACCTATTGTATAAAAAAATGACGAACAAATATGTACCATTTGAAATTTTCAGCTAACGTTTATTCCACCTACTTTTTTGCTGGGTCATGTCGATGTACTTTTGCTCGACTATGACCCTGCACGCCTATCTCTACATTAACTGCACACCGACCTCAAACAAAGCAATTGATGTGATGTGTACTCAAATGTACCGATGTATGCAATATATTCATGTTGAGTTTCTTATATGGTTCGCGCATCTTACCTTTTGGATAGGTCTCAGACATCTGCATTATGAAAGTTTGAAGAAACAGGATAGTCATTACACCTAGATTTCCTGATCTACAGAACCCCCACACTAGCTTATTGTCGGGACCATTGTGATTTATTTTTCACCCTTGTGTCTGAAATCAGTTGCCTCTGAGCATTCCTTAAGCTGTTGTTATTGCTAGGCAATATGCTCAGTATGGTACTCCCCTAGTGGGTAAAATGTTGAGATTTTCATTCCGTTTTGAATATGCGGAACAGCGAGGCATAACCTGTGTACTTTCAGTGAATTGTTCGTACTGATCTAACTAGCTTTTACATAAAATACTTTTACGTCAGATATCATAGCCTTAGTCTCCATTGTTTCCTTCCGAACACACAGGGAAAGCACATTCTTTCCTGAACGTGATTCAGTGCTTGCTGAAGCGTTTAGCTCTAATAACGTTTAGCTCTTAATAACATAATACGAACAAATTTAGTTAGTACGTTCGGGCCAGTATTTCTTGCAGTTTGTGTTGGGACGAGTCAGCTGATATGACCGGGCCTCTTACTTAGGTCGCACCTACACTTACCGGTACATGTAGCACTCATGTGGATCCCCGTACTCTATAATGGTCCAACTCGGTTACATTTATCAGAGAAAAAACGCGCAGTCACCAGGCTGTAACTTCACAGTGTCGTTCTGTCAAATCGTTGTCAAGCCCAAACGGATAATATGTTCATTGACAGCACACAAAAAGTAGAAAATTGAGCGGCTAAGAAGCAAACTTTGAAGCCTCGTTCAGTCAGGAAGAATGAGAAGCGATTAGACACCAATATGAGAATGGTCGAAGATCGATTACAAGATTGGAGGTTGGTCAGTCTTATTGCAGTGCTTCTGAGTACAGAATCTGGTTTGAACAGTCAAATCGCTGCTGCCTAAGCCGTGACAAAGTGTGACTTTCACTACATTTAAATGTATTTTCTATTTAGTAAATAAAATGCTTTGAAATTTGTGACTCGACGAGTTACATAAGTACGATACTGTTCATACCAGTCTTACTTTTCAACCACAATGCTTCAGAGTGTGGCCAATAGGCCTCAAACAAAGTGATAAACGCAGGCACTTTGTCTTCACCAACCGCAGAACGGTTTAGTGGTTAAATACGCACAAAACATGAAAGTGCTTCATGCTCGGTTTAGTGTGTTTGTTACTTATCCAATACATCCCTTTTAATCGAAAATGGCAGTAGTGCCGTTTTATTTAGAATTGGTGTATACGCCTGACTCTCAATGTACTTTATCTCTCAGGATAGTCGTGAAAATCATCTTAACGAATACTGCTTCAGTGCTTTGAACACGGTCTTTCTAGCAAGTCATCGGATTGGGTTTTTGTTTTAATTATAATAAAACCAAAAGTGTCTGTAGTTGTCAAGCCGAATTTCTTTCCGGAAAACTTTATCTTGGACTGTCGCATAACAACGGCGTGCTATTCGAGCATCGAGAACAGGCACACAGTTTTATGACACTAATTTCTACGTAAACCGCTTGTGGGTTATTAGTACTAAAGGCTGCTGGTAATTCCACTGGCGTCAGATGCAAGATAGGCGTTGTCGATTTGCCGTTTGTAACTGGGTGAGGGCGAATAGAAACTAGGTGTTTTTGATGTACTACTCATAAGGTTGCTGAAAATCCATCGACAGCCCACGACCGGTTTCGCCCTTCTTGGGGCTCATCAGGTAGGCGCAGTCCCCG